ATATATTTCTAGTAAACATATGTATCTAGCTCTTATATAGCTGGCTGTGGGTTTATTCTTGTTATATATACTTTATGGACTACGTGAAATGTCTTTAGAGGCGCAAAGAAAAGATTCTTAAATTTTTAAAGAAACATATTGGTACATGCAACTAGCTTACCCAATTTCTATCTTTTTTGATACTATAACCTAATTAATTTTATTCCCATCATTGAATTGGCATAAGTCTGACCCAGTGCTCTTTTTTTGGCTTCCTGCATGAGTTGGCAATTATGAGAGATATGTCATGGAGAAAGATCCCAAAGAAAGCAAAGAGAAAGGCAGAACGCATACATGATTCAAGTGTATGGTGGAATACGCTAAACTATTCGCAAATTATCTCGAACAAACATTGTAGTGATAATTGTAGGCTTTAAATTCGAAACTGGATAATTATTTGATTAAGATCACTAAGAATAAGCATGTAATAATAGATAGTCTTTATGCATTTAAGTAATGTTACGATCAATTTGATTCTATAGTCTCCTGAAGTTTGTCAATTTTCATGGTTATCTTCAAGCTAAGTATGTTGTGATCTGAGAAATACTCAGGAGTATTTTTACCTGCTGAGAGAGATTTTTGTAATATGAATTCTACGAACTAAAATAAATTCCCTAGTACCAGTCCTATAGGTCTAAACAAATTCGTAAGTTCCTAAACACATCCTGAAATACCTAAACATATGCGTAAACACTTGAACACATTAGGAAGTACCTAGTCAGATTTGCAACCATATGAAGAAAATAGTGAGCCAGTAAATAAGTACACAACAAGACTTGTTAGGTATTACATCTAATTTCAATAAAGAAACACGAACTTACTTCTTAGTGCACCTAGTATTTACTGTGAATTTAAATGAAAGAGTCCCTCGAATATACTTCATCAATATACATTTTGTACAAATTTAATCTAAGAATTGGTCCAATAAGAGCGATATTAATTATATATGTACATTTTTTAGATTTTCAATTATCAATTATCCAATTTCTCGATAAACTACAACAAATGATTCGCCGTTTATTCACATTAGATAATTGCATTGATATCGAAATTATCGCGATTTAATCGTTATTATCACCGGCGCATTATTGGAATACAACATACAATCCGAGTTGCATGATAATGGAACTATTATCTCAGTTGATTCGTTTCCGTATTGTTTTCATAAACAATTTCATTTCAAGAATATAAATTTCCTGCAACAATAATTTGTAGAAAGTATTTTTTATTTTCAGTTTTAATCGCCTGCAATTTCATTTTATTATTATATTTACACGTCACGTCCATCAAAATGATTTAAAATGAAATACACAATGCATATAATAAAATAGTAATAGATAGATAAAACGTATTTTAATTATGAATAGTCATCACTATAAAATTATTTTATATTGCAAGCAATAACTGAAAATTATTTATAATAATTATAGAAAATACTACAGCCTCATAAATTATTTACTCTCTCATAAATTTGAATATTAACAAATACTCGCAGGAATCTAGTTTCCGAAATATCGAAGTGGGCGTTCCTCAAGGCATATCATAAGGCCCCAAGTGCGTATCACATATATAAACACATTATTTTTATTATTTAAAAAACAAACTTCTAATAGTGATATGTAGTAGCTATATTAGTATTTATACGATATTCGATCGATTCCAATTCTTGGACTTGTATGACCTTATCAGGTACATTATTGTCATTTCGCTCGTAGCTTTTGCGCGGGGAAAGTTTGCAACTTTCACTTTAACGTTTTGTTTAATGCACCGAGCATACGGGATTCATATCAACAATTTAAAAAAAGGTACAGTCAAATATTGATCTATAGAAGAAAAATACATATTTGTTATACAGAACACTTTTCACGCGATCGTGCCCTATTTTACGCAAATGAAATCGTAGATCTTTACTATTTGCAGTAATTTTTATACTATAAACCCTCAGTGTTCAAATTCAAACTACATCTAAATGTATCTTCCTCTTTTTGGGGTGTCGAACCTTTAACCAGCGTCGACTTTATACTTACGTTCACATTGCTCATTGCGAATTTAAACGCGGACGTGCGAATGGCGCAAGCAACCCCCCAGGTGTAGGGATGTTTTTTTATTTTCAGAGAGTTAGGGTTACAAGATATAAAACCCTCAAGAATGTTTCCTTAAAAAGCCAAAAGTTCGATTTGGGTCGATAGTAAATTTCGGTTTTGTATGAATTTATTGGCTCGTGTTAGCTGATGCGTATGAATTAGTTAGAATCTTATGTTTTATTAATTCATGAGATCAGAAAGTTGCTCAAGATATCTTACCAGAAATAGATGTATTTAGAAATAGAGTTTAGAAACAAAAATAGTCAACGTGAATATTTTATGTGATAAAATTTATCTATGTAATACTAATTTTTTTTATATAGAGTTTTTGAAAATTTTAAATATTCTATAATATAAATTTCCTTAAACCGAATCAGAAATTTATTAAATTATTAACTTCCCGAAGGAGAATTTGATGTTTTCTCGACGTTTCAAGCCATTCTGAATCGAATGAGACCAAATTTGGAAAAAGTATGTGTGTGTGTGTACGTAAACCATAAATCGAATTTGGGGCTATCGTTTGAGGATTAAATCGACGGATGAGGATTATCGTTTGTCATATTTGTGTGATGATCGGCCGAACCGTTTCCTCGTAATTTGGAAAAAAGTGTTAAACTTTTCGTCCACATTTAAGCTCATACTACCGATTTTTATGGAACTTTTTTGACGCTATATATCATGGTCTTATAGAACTTACTGAAATATTACGGCCTTACGACAAATAGTTTAATTTTAAAAATTTATCAAAGTTTGAGATGATGATAAGTTTTTTTCTGAAATGAGTATTTTTAGGTATATAGGTACGAGTATGTTCTTAGGTACTTATGACTGTGCTTAGGTACTTAGGAATGTGTTTAGTTACTTAGGAATGCGTTTAGGCACTTAGGAATGCGTTTAGGCACTTAGGAATGTGTTAAGTTATTTTCACTATAAGGTACATAGGTGTATGATTCGGTACTTGGGTTTGTGTTTATGTACTTACGAGGTACGTTATCCTTTGGTAAAGTAGGTACTGACCAAAGTATCAAGATGTTTACGAATGTGTTTAGAAATTTGGGAATGTATTTGGATACATGAAAATACATAAGTTTAGGTAATTTTGTAATTCATTTTTCTTTATTTCTGTGATTATTTTTTTATATGCAATTTAGTCTTTTAACTTGAGTTCTGTCAATAACTCTGATTGTTATATAATATTGAATTAATAAAAAAGTTGAAGTACTTATGATTATGTTTAAATAATTCGGAATGTGTTCAGATACTTGCAACAGTGTTTAGCTGCTTAAGAACGTTTTGATGGATAATTAATTTTTTAATATTCTGTAAATTAAATTGTCTAGCACTTTAATTCAATTATATCAACAAAGTAATCTTTTCGCATGCGGATAAATCTAGAAAGTTTACAATAATACAATTATTTCACATTCACACAATGTCTTATAAACAATTGCTTACTATTTATATCATACAATCTCATAAATAACTCTTCCTACTTGATTTATAATTGAAAGTAAGTTTAAAATAGATGATAAATGTAATTGGTGTAATAATTCTTCTTAATCATGCGGATTAATTTATTTTAAATGTTAATTAAAATTTAAACAAAAAAATATTTTTTATCACTTTTGTAAATATTTAGGTTTAAAGTATTATTTCTAGTCGATTTTTTTTCAAATGAATGATTAAATGTTAAAAATAAGTTTACGTTGTTTTTATCGTGAAAACAAATTCATATGCATGAAATGCGTACTTTCTTGTAACGGGTTTAATAAACGGTTTCTGAATACTACTGAGGCACAACTTGTTAATACATTCTAATAACAATGAATACCGTTTACTGCATATTCTTTTTATATTTATTGGCTCGATATTTAACAGTTAATTTGTAAAATGTATAAAAATTACTGTTTTATTTGACTCATCTGACTGTGAAATTAAATATACATAAAAAAAATTTAATCTCTTAATACCAGATGTCTTCAAAAAAGACTACTTTTAAGGTTAATTATTTACTCGAGTGTCATTTTAATACATATTTAAAATATCAGTAAAATTACAACAAATGATTTTTTGATCATTCAAATTAGATGCTTCGTTCTCTCAAAAATTCGATTTCTATTTTCTGCACTCTTTGCTCCGTATTTCCAAAACGGCTGGACCTGCCTTTGTCAAAAACCAATCTGCACATCTCCCTATAAATAGGAATCGAATGTTTTTCGAATCATTCAAATCGGTTGATCCGTGCGCCCGAAAATGTGGACTAAAAATTGTATCCATACATACATACGCACACACACACATACACACACATCAATTTTTTCTGAAGTATGCCTAAATGTTCAGAAACCTTCAAAACGTGAAGAAATGTAAAAATTTTCAATTTCGATTTTTGGACGATCACAATAACTTACCCTACCGAAGATAGTAAAAAAAATCGTTCTAGATAAATTTATGATTTATGTAGTTTCAGTTTTTTGCAGATCAGGAATATCTTAAGATTTGATCAATTTTGAGTTTCTCTTAAGTTTTACGGTGTTAGGTTTTTCTAAATATGGCATAGGCAATATAATATAAGTAATATTGCACTGATTGTACATGATTAATTATTACCTGAAAGCATTAAGTCTTTATTAGAGAAATTATTTATTCAAAAGCAAATTGTCATTAAATTTAATGATGCAGGCACTAATTAGAAGCATAAGTGTACAAGAAATTAATCTGGCAATTAAAGTAATTTGTATAAAGTAACTATACTAACTGAGGAGTGGGCTTTGGAAAAAACATATTTTTGCTTCTGAATTATAGGGATTTTTATCAAATTTGAATAAAATATTGAATGAAAATGAAATCATTATATATTTTTCTCTTTAATTTCAGTTTTGACCGAGACCAGCCTTTCACTTTCCAATTGGGCTCTGGACAGGTTATTAAAGGATGGGATCAAGGTTTAGTCAACATGTGTGTTGGTAAGAAATTAATATAATAAAAAAATTAAAAGTGATATATATATTCGAAATTCAATTGCTTTTGCAATATTAGCAAATGATTCATTTTTAATGTGATTATTTTCATCAAGGTGAACGCCGTAAGTTGGTCATCCCTCCAAATCTTGGTTATGGAGATAGAGGAGCTGGTAACGTAATTCCAGGAGGAGCTACTCTTCATTTCGATGTTGAATTGATCAACATTGGCGACTCACCACCAACTACAAATGTCTTCAAAGAAATTGACACTGATAAAAACAACCAGTTGACAAGGGAAGAGGTACGAAATAGTAAAGGAAATATTTTGTTATGGATAAACCTATAGATATGATTTTTAATTTCATCAATTCATCATGATTACAATTTCTCTTAGTCATACATGTGATTATATATCTTCATTAATTCATATTCATTTCAGGCTCAATATATTTTTTTCAATATTGACATCAAGATACCTTTTGTCAATCAGTGATTAACCATGATTGTGATGGTAGATTTATTATTTTTTTAGAACATTAATTTACAAACCGCAAGATTCTAAATATTTTCTTATTATCCAATATATATATACATATCTATTTCTTTCTTAGGTCAGTGAATATTTGAAGAAACAAATGGTAACAGCCGAAGGAGCAAGTTCTGATGAAATTGCCAATATGTTAAAGGATCATGACAAATTGGTAGAAGAAATTTTCCAACACGAAGACAAAGATAAAAATGGTGTGATATCCCATGAAGAATTCAGTGGTCCAAAACACGATGAGTTATAAAGTTAATTTATAAGATTATTTTGTTCTAATTAAATTGTCTATTTTATTTGAAGAGATAGTAATAGAGATCGAACGTGATAATGATAATTTTGCATTATATTTTATACAAATAATTAAAATCTGTTTGAAGACCTGAAAGTCGAGCTTGGGTTTGTACACATTTATTTATGTCTTGATTTTTACCTCTAAACGAGTATTAATCTCATATCTTAAACATACATATCATTCCATTAAGATTCTACTTGCGAGCATTTAGATAAAGTTGTCTAATTTATTTCAATTTCGGCAATTGTACTAGTTCGTTTTTTAAGAAAAATGAAAAATAAAAAAATATATATATAATGTATATTAAATGTAAAACAGCCTTTTTGTGAATATGACATAGATGTTATAAAGAATGGCGGAATGTAACTAAAGTAAATTTTATACGCAATTTTTTATATATAATATATAGATTTACTTATTACTTCAATATTTATAAAAAGATATTCTTTTTTGTTACAGCAGCATTGTGAAAATGTATAAATGTTTAGTTCTAAGATTTTTACCAGATGCAATATATTTAAACAAAACTAATTTTTATATGTAATGCCTTTTTCAATCATTTATGAATTTTTTAAGTATGTTTGAAAACTGCGTTTACTCAAATTATTTTGTATTATAAATTAAAATACATTAGGATACTAATTGTAACCATAGGTTGTTATATTGTAATATAAAAAGGTAAAAAAATTATAAATCTTTTACTGTAACGCGATTGTTATATTTGCTTACAGAATTAACAAATAATATAATATATCGATCAGGGTGGTCCTTAATATGGATGTTTTCGAATTTCCTTGCTCTTAGGGGCTCAAATGCTTCCAAATTGATAAAAAAAAATTTCAGAAAGTATTAGCTCTCTAAATTAACTTTAAGGCACTCCAACCAAAGTTTCTATGGAAATAACAAGGGTAAATTTTTATAAATTATAACTTAGCGCCAAGTGAATCAAAATTTTGAGAATAACATTGTATTTGCTCATTTTGATCATTAATAAAAAATGTACAACAACAATTTTATATATTTTATAAAAAAAGTGTTTACATAGGACAAGAACCAAGAAACTTCGGTTGGAGTGCGGACTATCTTAAAGTTAATATTAAGAGCTAAAACTTTCAGAGATTTTTCTTTATCAATTTGGAAGCATATGAGCCCCTGGGAGCAAGGAAATTCGAAAACATCCATATTAAGGACCACCCTAATATAGATATGTATTTACTATGTGGTGAGTATTATACTTTAAACGTATTTTTTAACTAGCAGTATTATAAATAAATGAACTGGGCAAAATTAGCAAATTTGTACCAGTTTTACAAAAAAAGTATTTTTTTTTTCAGATTTATTTATATTGCTGCTTGTTACTACATGACTATTTAGGAGTTTGTATTTGATTTTATGTAAATAGTGTTAAAAAATGCATGAATTCTTGCTCGACAATTAAGGGAATCCTACGATGTAGCACAAGAAGACTTGTGATCTTCCCAGAATTAGTGAGTTTTTTCTACTTGTGACAAAAAAAAATGTTTTGGTATTTAATTTTGCAATATTGAATTTTCAGCTAAAGTACCTTGCTAGAATTGGAAGGAGACAACTAAACATTATTTAAAACATCGACAAAAAATAATTTCAAGAGAATTTGCTGCATAGTGTTATTGGTGCGGACGTATGAATAACATTGAAGGATTTTTTATTAACAAAACTAATTAAAGTAATCAGTAACTATAGTTATTTAAATTGTATTAATGATTCATCATAAATAATAACTGTTTTGTTTCAGAATAGTCAAGAAGATCTATTCTGCTACAGTTATGCATTCAAATTTAGAAGCCGATTTAGCCATAAAATATTCAATGTTACGTAGCGCTTCTCATACAATATGGTACTAAATACTATTAAA